GCTCCGAACGCGCGAGTTGCACGCGGTGCTGTGAAACTGAATCTTGCGATCTGTTGCTCTCAAGTCTTTTCTTGCATCTTTGGTGGCTTTTGGTGGGTGGGAATGGTCCCGAGCGGGCACCCTGGGCACTTTGACAAGCATTGGCAATAACTGCTGTAGCCAGAGCCATGGAGGGTGTCATGACCGGGGAGTGATGTCGTGATGTCCGGAAAAAGTGTTGTTCAGGGGCGCACGGGCGGGAAGCACCATTTTTTTGTTTTTGGCCGTGGGGGGAGTACGGGGGGGAGCACCTCGAGCTTTCGAGCCATCCTTCTTCAAGGTGAGGTGCGTGTACATGACCATATACGAACGTTGCGATTGGTTTGGGTTGCTGTCTGTTTGCGTGAGAGGGGACCCGTCGGGGCGCAAATCACGGTGTGATGGCTTTTGCGGACGGTGACAGTGGTGACTTGGTAGCAGTGGTCTTTCGATGTAGTGGGCTCGACGTGGGGGAAATGTTCGCCTGGCACGTGCGATCGACGTTTTTTTTGTTTTTTGCAGCAGAGCGATGGAGGATGGCTGGAACCGGCGTGACGCGGTCGCGTTTTTTTTTTTTTTCGGCGTTCTAATGTGTTGCTGATGATGAGCACGGCCGAAGGATTAAGCGCTTGATAGTGGCGTTTTTGTGTCAAGACGTGAAAGCCGGATCTATTACTGTGTGCACTATGTGACATAGAGTGGTTGTTTATGGGTTGATGGCGAGGATGCTCGCCACATGCACACAACTTAGTATTGCTTAACAGAAGGGGGCGGCAGGGTTTAGGGGGTGCCGGCATGTCAAAAAAAGTGTCGCTACTGCTGCTGCTGCTGCTGATTCGTGTGCCTCCTTGTTTCCCAGTCTGCCTCTCGATTAGTGGAGTGTGTGTGCATGTTTTTGTTTTGTTTTTCTTGTTCTCCGGCCTCTGCTACGCAGCAGCGTGGAGAAAAATGTGTGTGTGGGGGGGGTGTTGTGGCAGCACTTTTTCGTTTCTTGTTCGGTGTCCGTGTGTGTCGCCCGCATGTACTATGTA